CTCTATCTTCCTACATACACAAATGCAATCAATTCCACCATCAGAATAACCCACTTCTTCCCCCTCTTAGTTCTTTGTCCCCTATCCTTGGCACCAGTTTACATTCACAAAAACCTACAAAAAATGTTTTTGTTCTATTTTACATTTGTCTCGCTTGCTTTGTTTACAAAACTTTAATGGACACGCAGTTCCTTTACTACGAGATAGCAAGCTGTACAAACTACTACTTTTGGTATACACTCCTTGGTTCCTTGATGTATTTGCACTATCTGTATCATGCTCAACATTTGTGGTTTCCTGCAATTAATAAAATAATATTGTTTAAAAAAAGTAAAAAGTTATGCAGATGGCTTACATCTCAGCAGCCTAAAAGGGATGCTTAAACCACTGCATTTTTTGTTGTTGCGGTGTTTTCTTCACTTACAGTTTCAAGACACAACAGCAAGTGAGAAGATATTTCTCCAATAGAAGGTCATTTTTTTCTTAGACAGTTGTCAGTGCAAAACAATTCCCCACTGGAAGATTTTTCCCTTTACTCTGCTCTGGTGATATCTCAAAATGTGAGATTTTATCTCAATTTCATTCCAATGATGATGGTCATCATGGCAAATAAAGAGGGTAACGCTCTACAACAGGGACACAGACAGCAATTCTTCCCCACTTTATCCAAAATGGTAAAAAATTATTTAGTTGAATTTTAAATTAGGACACCTCTTACAGATGCACCACAATATCTGTTTCTGAAAGCAAATATTGAAATGTTTCCCCCAGAACATTGGTCTGCAGAATAAAATGATTTCCGATTTGGTTTACCAAAATACCAATATTGTCTTTATCAAAAGAAGAGGCAAGAGGGTTCTCCCTCACGGGACACTCTAATACCATGGGAGTCACCCCATCGATCAAGAAGTGCCTAGAAGATCATAGGGCTTGGAGGATTTTAAAGTTTAGAGAACTGGGAGCTCTAAAAAGTTTGCGTATAAAGGAAATAAACAAAATAACAAACATAGATGCCACTTTCTAGAAAATCTTGGTACTGCATTCAGTAATGTATAACAGATGGAGGCATGGAAAAGGGTTTGTCCACTGGTCTACATCAGTAGCCCACTGAGTTGTACTGACTGCACACAGGGAAAGAGTGGGGATAGCGATTTACTTTAGATTGTGACTACAGTCTTGATATTACAAGAGTAAGATTCCTGGATTAAATCTGTAGCAAACCTCAGGAAGAAATTACAAATTATAACTATTACAATGCTCTGATTCTTCAAGTTGCAAGAGAACGTAAGGTGTACTAAAAAGGCCTCTCAAGTGAAATCATATGTGATTATATTGCTTGAGAGGCCACTACTTAAGCTCATTGATAAATCAGGGTTCTTGTCTGTAAAGCTTTTTTACAAACATGAAGCTATAGACCTCTCAGTAATAAGAATTGGACTCTGAAATACTGAATGCCAAAAATCAGCTTGAATTGTGGTGTGGAAAAATGTGTTGAGAGGTTCTTGGAAAGCAAAGAACTGGTCAGTCAGCATTCAGGGACATAAACCCAGATCACTCACTACAAGGAGCGGTAATGAAACTGTATATTAGTTTGGCCACATAATGTGAAGGCTGGAGTAACTGGCAACGCTTTTGATGCTGGGAAAGATCAAAGACAATGTGAGAAGCAGGGCAGAGGCTAGGATGGACAGTATTACTAAAATAATGAATATGAGCCTACAAATGATTAAGTTGCTGTCAGACTGGAATGCTGAAGACCATAAGGTAAAAAAAAAAAGGTCCGACTGGACCAAAATCTGGCATGCACTTACTTTTTTTACCACTGGCACTTCCTGGAGATATATCTTCAGGCTGAGAATTGGACACACTACTGCTACTTGTAGACTTTTTTATTGTATCCTCCTATGAAAAGGAGAACATTGGATTATAGTTTATAAAATTGTTACATCTCAAATAGATTTACAATGTTCACTATGATTTGTGTTACCAGTAACATTAGGAGTGAATTAACGGTGGAAGATTCCAAGAAACTCTTAGCTCGGCAATAGATGGGTCTGCAAATGACACTGAGTATTCATGGGAAAGTCATGCAGAACATAGCAGTAATTACAGCATACAACTAAGTGAATGTTTAATAAGTTAAAAGAACATATGCTTGTAAATTAAACAATTCGTGAGAAAGCATGGACAAATAAGCAGTCTGAATACTTTAACAACACATAATTGACATATATTAAGAAAAGGCATTATGCAATATACAGTATTTTAAACCAATACAATTTTGGTTTAACAATGTTAATAAGATAATGGTCCAGCCATTTGTACATCATCACTGGTCTTTTGTATTGCCTTACTAAACAATTCTCATTTATTATATTTTCCAATAAAAAGGGCAAGGAGAAAAGCGGCAGGTGCACGACTCCTAGTAACCAGTCAAGAGCCACAGTACCCTGTCCTGGCTTCAGTTATGTGTCTGGTTCTGACAGCAATGGGTTGTTGTACTCCGTACCATTGGTGGAATAAACCCAAAATAGAGTAACAAAGAAGAGTGAAAGATGTTCAGGAAATGGCCAGTAGAGATGCATAGGAGCTTTCCTCAACAGAGAAGAGCGAGCGCACCTTAAGTCTGCCTTATTCTACCCAGCATGCTTTACTCCTGAGTAGAATGAAGCCATGACCTAGTAAACAGAAATTAATAAACACTAATCTTCTTCTGGCTAATCTATAATCCTAATGCATGTTTCACTCCCTAGTAAACCAGGAATTTATGGAAAGGAAATCAATCTGATTAAGTAAGAGTAATCATCAAGGAACAATTAATCCTCTAACACACAGATAACAAGGAAATGCTTGTAAGCATACTTTTGTAACACTACATGTACCTCTTAGACAGAAGTGTCATAATAGTGTCAACACAGGTGGAGACAAGGAAAGGTGTAACCCCACAGGTTTTCCTCATATCTTCTGACTATGCTAAAGATAATCCGCTTTTTTTCATTGTAAAACAATTTTTAACTCGAAAAGCTGAACATAGATTCCCGGCCAGATACAGTGCAATGCATCCTCAGTAAAGAAGCAGTGTGTGGAGGGAGGTCTACCTACATGATACCAGAATTACAGAAAATGCAGAAACAAGGCCCCTAAATTTACATTTCTGACCATGTTACACTCATATTTAGTGTGTAAGATGAAACATGGTCAGATCACAACCCACCAGGTTCTTCTCCCCACAGGTTTGTTTACCTTTTTGAATTCTGCACGACTGTGTGTGGTTCCACCCACACAGCCGCATCATCCATTCACAGATCCTTTGACAAGACTAGAAGTCCCATCAGCCACTGGGGCAGAGGGACTTGTAGTTCTCAAAGGAATACAAGTTTGTTAAATGTCGCCGCCCTTGTCCATTCATTCTTCCTCCTGTCCATGTTACTGAATGTCTGCACTACTGATCGCTGTTAGAATGCTTTACTGGCTCCAATGCTAAAAAAATAATAAATACATCTTTTTCTTTTATAAATATGTGTGCAATTTTTTTATTTTTAGAAGGTGGAATTTTACCTTTATAGAATTACTGTGATATAGGTATAAAATATACCGTATATACTCGAGTATAAGCCGTCCCGAATATAAGCCGAGGTACCTAATTTTACAAAAAAAATATGGGACAGTTTACTAAATGTATACTTTAACTGGTTCATTGAGTGAATACAACAATTCATAACATAACCCCAAAGGGAGCTTACAACTTAATGCCCCTGCATACTCTAAAGGAGCCTACATGTTTCAATATGATTATTCTATACAAAACTAAAATAGATACACTTTAACCAGTTGACATCCGCGGTGTTAAACCCCCTTCCCATCCAGGCCATTTTTCAGTATTCAGCGCTGCGGTACTTTGACTGACATTTATTCCGTCATGCAGCGCTGTACTGAAATGAATTTTATACCCTTTTTTGGGGACAGATAGAGCTTTCTTTTGGTGGTATTTATTCACCACTGGGGG